AGTAATATTATATTCAAAATTTGTGCTGTTAAAGCTATTAATCTTTTTTTTTAATGAATTCGATATAACGAAATTCTAATTAATCATGACGCTATTATGTTCAGACCGGCTTTTTCAGCTAACAATATATTTGGGCCCTTATTTGTAATAATTTTCAAATATCGGGCCCTTATCTGTAATCATTTTCATTTTGGGCCCTTATTTGTAATTATTTTCAATTTTGGGCCCTTATTTGTAATTTCCCCTATATTTTATCATTGTATTTTCATTATCTTGCTAATAATAAAGTTCTCTGTGTCTTCATACATGTTAAATTCCAAAACTTGTTATTTTAAGAATCTTGATACTCTGTTACTACGTGATATCGTTAATTGGGTTAACGATTGGTAAATAAGAGTGATAAAATAAAACATACCCGACTACTTGTATCATCATATACATTTAGCCGTTTTGCCTCTTTCAATAAAGCCTTGTAAAACCTCTTTGATAAGTTGAGTAATCAACACTATATTAACCTACCAAATTACCAAGATTATAGTCTTCATACTATATTCGTTAAGTCCCTGGAATTCTAATAAGAGGTGAATTCCTAGAGTGACACCGGGTCAAAATAGAATTTCCCTAATAAATATGGTTGAAAAAAAAATAAATCTTCACGACAATTATCCAAATATACGTATGTACACATTAATGAACATTGAGAAAGTCATCTCTATATTTGCATTATCAAATCTACAACAAGTACAGTACTACATTTAATTCAGAAAACAATATCAAAAAAAGGTTAATTATACATCCACTCAATCTCATAACGTTACAGATTTTTCTTTAATCTTCCATCATATTCTAAATAATAATAATAATATGCCTGCCGATTTATTAAAGACATTGTCCCAATATTATAAAAATCTTGTAGAAAGTTCAAAATTTGCCGATATTACAATTCAGGTTGGCGAAAAGCTTAATATTGAGGCACATTTTTACGCACATTCTTTAATTTTGCGAACTCGTTCACCTTATTTCAAGACGTACTGTCAAAGTATAGAGATAAAATAGAATTTGGAAAGGTGATATTATTCGAAATTTTTTTCAGGCAAAAAAAAAATACCGTTCAGTGATTTCCATTCAGTGATTTCCAGTGATTTATTTCGAATTTATTAAAAAAAATTTTTTTTTATATTTATGATGGTCCTATTGATCTCACTGATGTTGATTTTTCGGACATCATTTTTCTTCTATGAGACACTCATGAACTCCGTCTCAAAGAATTATGTACTTATATTGAAACGTACATTGTTGGTCAAAAAGACCTTGTAAAGAAGTATATCCTCTCATCAATAGAGAAGAATTATCAAATTTTACAAACTTAGCAGCATTCAAGATTCGAATATTTTCAAGAATAATGATTTTATTACACTTCAAAGAGATGAGTTCCTTCATTTTTTACATTAACGGCCCAAATAATATCACTGATATGGAATTATGGGGAAAACTTCTTAAATGATTAACCGTATATTCTAGTTCGTTACCTTCAAATGTTTCTCAATGTAATACTAACATTTTCAATTTTAAAAAAATTGATCGAACCATTCATTCAATATATTTTTTAAATTAATTAACAAAAAAAGATTTTTATTCAAAAAATTCACCTATTCCGTCAATTTTTGATCCCGATTTTTACATTCAACTTTTTATAAACACTTACTTTTAATGAGTCTCAAGAATCAAACATTACGACTACACCTCCCTCTTCCTCAAATATTTCTATGTTATCTGTAGAACTTACTTCTGATGCTAAATTACCAATATCTGTAGAAATCAATTTTGAATCACTAGAATCAGATCCACTGCTGTTACAACTTCTAAACCAACAAATACTACTGAATTTAAATCTACAAATCCACTTCTGCTTCTACTCCTATTTCCTCTGCTTCTACTCCTATTTCCTCACCTACTCACACCTGCTTCCACAATTATTTTCACACCTACTTTCATGCCTACTCTTCACCTACTTGAGGTGACAAAGTGGTGGCAGAAAAAATTCGCGATCAGGGTGATCGCCAATGCTTCCGAACCTTTTCGATGCAGCCCTCAAACTTTATACAAATTTATGCATTTTTTCAAGAACCGAATATCAGATATATGTGTACCACATAACTTATATCTGATACGTATTCGGTTCTTGATAAATTTTGTATAAAGTTTTCGGGCTCCATCGAATGGGTTCGGAAGCATCGGCAATCACCTGATCGTGAATTTTTTCTGCCACCATTTTGTCACCTCCTACATACATACGTACGTACATACTTCCACATCTACTTCTGCACCTACCTCTATACCTCCTCCTACACGACAACTCACAATTCATTCAAATGTAACTGAACAAAAACACACTGTATTGATAGTAAAATGGATTAATGAGATATGCAATTTAGACCAAAGTACTTTTTATACCTTCAATTTACTGCAACGTGCTTCAAGACATGGTTCTAATTCAAAAAACTTCATACTCGCTGTGATGATAAGGGTCCAATTTTAGTTATCATCTGTATTAAAGATACTGGCAAAATTATTGGTGGTTACTATTCAATCGATTGGTGTAAATCAACTGCTAAAAACACTTATCATTCTACTTTAACAAGCTTTATATTTTCTAGAAATCTTTAAAATTCAGATGATTCAATAGTTAGTAACATAATTGACACTGAGCATGCAATTAGACAAAATAGATACACAGGTCCAACTTTTGGAAAAATGATTTAAAGATTTGTGATGAAACAAAGGAAAATGAGAAAAGTAGTTGGAGTTATGAAAAAAAAAAGTCAATTCGACAAAGCTGTCATGTTTTTCTGTTGATAATTGAGGTTTTTCAAGTTTTGGAAAATCCACTATTTAGTAATTTGGTTTCTGTTAAATTTAACTTGGAAATTAAAAATCTTTCAATTTACATCGATTATTCATTCACGTGTCTCAATTGTCTTAATTGTTTTCAACCGGCATCCGCAATTTACGTTAAATCAGTATTGTTAATAGGAATCTTAGATAATATAAAAATAATACTATATATCATTATCTTCAAGACCCCTATTCTTATACAATACACTATTGGTTTAACGTAAATTGTGGATGCCGCCTAATTGCCCTCAATCGTCTTAATTGTCTTCAATCGTCTTAATTGTCCTCATCGTCTTAATTGTCTTCAATCGTCTTAATTGTCTCAATTGTCTCAATCGGTAATGGTTTATAAAATAGTATACAAAACTTTATACGATTTTATGATCAATTTAAAGAAATTTGATCAATGTCTACATTTATCACGTAAAGCATTGATAGTAGCAAGATTTTTAATGTTGCTGTTTATTTTTTATTGGGTGACAAAAGCAATGTGAATGCCGTTTGTTTAAAATATTGATCATTACAAGATGTAAATAATAATCTATTTTGTTGAAAATTTTACTTGACCAATATGTGTTTTATTTGGTGTAATTAGGGTAGGTGGCACGGTAAAATTTTAGGGCATGCCCCTAGTATATAAATCGTGCTTAGTGTTCTAACCCGTCATGA